ATCACTGCACTATACAAAATACCAGGGGAACAAAGATGAATTAAATAGAGCCTCTGCTTTGGGAAGTTCACAACCTTTTGGAGAGGGCATATATGTAAACAAATAATTCAAATATCACAAAACAAATGCTTAAAAAAGATATCTGAATGGAATTCTCTGGGAGCCTTGAAAGGGACACGACTAACTGCCTGAGACACCAAAAAAGACTTCATGGAAGAGGTAACATTTGAGCTGGACCTTAAAGGTGGACAAAGAATTTTCCAGATTGAAGAAAAGACATCGTAAATATAGGGAACAACACATGTAGGAAAATAAGAAGTGATAAGTCTGGAGGACAGTGATATTTCATGTGGCTGAAGCGCTGGATGCCTGAAAGAAAATGAGGCAGGTCTCAGGTTATATCAGACTGCGTCTCCTATGCCTTGGCCAATCCTGTGAGCAATGAGATTCCGGTAAAGGTGATCCACCAGAAAAGTTGACAAATCAGTCTGTTTTTTTAGAAAAACAAGCCTGGTTTTCCACTGGAGAATACACATAAATACAACATAACCCAATACTGAACCTGCTAAGTAAGAATGCTGTTAAGCCATAATTCTCTCCTTGTAAAAAAAAAAAAAAAAAAAAAGCTGCTTTAGCAAAATAGTGTCCCTAAACTGATGATCATAAAGACTAAGAGAACCAAAGTACATACACAAATACATCATATTAATGAATAACTATAATGGTCTCATAGAATATTGTTAATACAATAACTATAATAAAACAAATATTCAGCCTTTGAACATAAGTAAAATATTTCTGTAATGACAAAAACATTATATGTACTCCAAAGTATCAACTATAAAGTAGTTTTACTTTTGCTTCTTTATACTTTTGGGCTCCTTTCAAATTTTCTACAATAAGCAAACAGAAAAACTGTCAGATGTTGACTGTTCTATTATATCAAGTATCTAGCATCAATAAATTTTAAAAGCACATTGTTCATTGCATTTTATAAACAATTATCTGTACAGAAGTCTTAAGACTAAAATATTACCTTTTTGTCTCCTTGTTTTCGTCTTCTTAACCCTGGTCTATAATCATCTCCAAATCTCAGAAAGTAATAGTAAGAAACTAGCCTCTCAATAGGATCCCTTATGACATTAATGTAAATTGGCTTCTTTTTCACACCAAATCTGAAATAGAACAAAATTTAAAAGGTGAAATCAACATTATTATTGTATTTAGGAATGCGCTGAAATTATACGTTTAAAGTATTGATTTCATATGAAAAGAAGAACATGAATTAATATAAATAAGATAATGATTATTTGTTACAATTAAGTAAATAAGAAATAAGAATTTAAAAATCATGGCTGAAAATAAAGGAAAGAAGAAAAAATTAAAAATAATTTAAAATTTTACAGACAAAATTACATAAACATTTTAATTTTATTGCAGCAATGATTTCTCATTTCTGGCCCACCATACTAGATAAATGTTATGAATGGATATAGCATAAGTCCACACAAGTGCAACCATTTGAGTCTGCTTTCTACTACTACTGATTTTAAAGATAAAATAGAAGTGAAAGACATTATGTTTTTAACATTATTTCCTTATGGAATAAGTTGAAGGAACACAAGGCTTTTATGTTAGCAACCTTTGCAGAACCTAGAATTATCCAGCTGGCTCCCTACTGTAATAACCTCATGTGTCCCAGTCTTGAAACCTTAGTGTTATCTTAACTCTACCTTTCTTCGTCGATGATTCCCTTTCTCTTCACTGCTGCCCTCTCCCTAGGTCTCTTGCTTCGATTACTGCAATAACCTAGTTGGTTTTCTTACATCCAGTCTCTCTCCCTTTCAATCTACCAACCATACCAATTCTCAGCTAATATTCCTAAAACACCATTTGTTAGATCACTCTTCTTAGAAACCTGAAACAACTCTATGGTTTATATTGACATCATACCCAAACTCCTTTGCCTGGCTGTTAATAGTATCTGTTTGACTTTTGTCTTAGGTAGCACCTTATTGATCTAACTTTATTTTCAAACTAGAGGCCGGATGCACAAATTTGTGCACCAGTGGGGTCCCTTGGCCTGATCTGCAGGATCGGGCCAAAACAGGCTCTCCGACATCCCCCAAGGAGTCCTGGATTGCGAGAGGGCACAGGACAGGCTGAGGGACCCCACCAGTGCATGACTGGGGCTGGGGAGGGAACGCGGGAGGTTGGCCAGCTGGGGAGGGACTGCAGGAGGGCTCCAGGGCATGTCCAGCCCAACTCACTCAGTCCCAATCGGCCGTACCCCAGCAGCAAGCTAACCTACCTGTCAGAGCGTCTGCCCCCGGTGGTCAGTGCACATCATAGCGAGCGGTTGAGCGGCCTTAGCATCTCATTAGCATATTACGCTTTGATTGGTTGAACGGACAACCAGACGACCAGACACTTAGCATATTAGACTTTTATTATATAGGATAAGACCATCAATCTGTTAAGAGTTAGGCCTGCCTCTTCTACCCACCTCCGTTACTATTTCTTATTATACCGATTCCTATTTCTTCTTACATGCCTCTGCTCATTGTCTTTCTTAACTAGAATGCCATTCTTATTTTCCTATTACATTAATTCACTCAAAAATGATTTTTTAATGTACCTTATGTATGCCATGCACTATTCTAATACTAGGGATATAGCAGTAAAAAAAAAAATTCCTTGTCCTCTGATGCTTACATTCTACCTGGAAGAGACAGAATATAAACAAATAAGCAAATATGTCAGACGGCAAAAAGTGCAAGGAGAAAAATAATGCAGTGAAAGGAAATAGGGACTGCCAGGAGAGGTGGGGATAAGACAATTCAAAATTTTTTTTCCAGGAACATGACACTTTCAAGTATGAAGGCCCTGAAGCAGTTAAGCACCAGGCATTTTTGAGGATTAGTAAGATCAATCTGGGTGCAGCAGAATCAGAAGGGGATATTAACCAAGCGTGAGATGTGGGTGGGGCAGGGAAGAGC